TTAATTTCCACCTTGTATTCCATATATTGTATTTTTTTAATTCTAATTATTTTTTTATACGCTTTCTTTATTTCATTGTATTCTACCCAATCACCAGTGATCACTGCCCTTTGGTATAACTTAAATTTTTCTTTATTAGTTTCAGTCAATTGTCTGTCAAACCATTTATTTCTGATTTTGACCCGCTTTTGTACACGAGAAGTTAGTTGATTCATACTCGAAATCAAACAATTATTAATATGTTCGAGCATACCATCAGGACTGAGACTATTCAGGTCAGGAAGGTGCATTGTCTCAAAATATTTATGAGGTTGTCTGGGCTGTACCCATCCCACGAAGTTATTTCAGATAGTTTACTGATAGGGCCTTGTTTTTTATATCGCATTTGAACATTATAGTTTCATGATCCGACATTCTATGTTCCTCCGCTTTTTCACATGAAACTTCCTTAGCGTTCGAGTACAATAAGTCGATCAGTGTTTCGGAATATTCAGTAACCCTAGTATTAAAGTTAATTAACTGCTTCATTGCCTGATGGGCGAATATCTCATTCAGTTTCTTACTATATGTCGACATTATATTCAGGTTTATATTATATTAGTATTAACCATGTTATCTCATATTTCCGACAAAATGGTCTCCATATATGCTAGAAAATCAGCATCACTTGAACTAGGTGAGTGATAGACCACCCCGATTTTCCATTTGGTTTCGAGATTTTTCAGTTGGATAACTACACACTAAACATTTTTATCGATAGATTTGTTTAGTATTATTTTAAAATCTAGTGCGTTACGCAATATTATGATTACCCCTCCTGTATGTCTACTGTACGAGTCACAACTTACAACCTGATATGTTGGAAACTGTATTTCATAGTCGTATATTTCCTCTGTTGTACAAGTTTCGGAACATAGAACTATATCCGGATCAACAAGTTCAATTAGCCTTTCAAGCTCTATTTTATTAGCTATTATACTACTTATGTTAAGATAAACGCATTTCAAGTCACTGTTATGCTTTTCATGTACTGGGTGAACCGTCAACTCCATGTCAGGGTTCCTATTAACTGACTGTAATTGTTAATAGCTGGCTCTATTTCTCGTATGCTCTAGTTTCTTCATGTATACAGGACACTGTCGATTAATTGTCAAGTGGTTCACGTCGAGCCTTAGATTAAATTTTTTGTTTGCACGAATGCAATTGATACACTTGTTTATTTGCTCCTTTGTGCACTCCATTGTTTTATGATTACCCAAGTACTTCAGGCAGACCTCTTCATCCTTGCACTTCGTAGCTATATGATTGAAGCCCTTACATTTGTAGCAGACTGACACACCCATATCATCTTGGACTCTACATTTCTCCCACCCAATATTTATTTTTTCGCTTTTGAGTTCTGCCGAGAACGTATCAACGTCCGTTTTAATGAGCACATTATAGTATGTAGACTTATCTTTCTTGACTTCAATGTATTTAATAATTTCAAAGGCAGCACTTTTTAAACATTCTTTTTGTTTTTTAATCATTTCTGCAAGTTGCTCGCTTTCATATTTAAGGCTTACTCCAAACGCCATAAACTTGGGTTTAGCCGTATTCGGCACTCTAATTTCATAGCGGTCACTCATTTTATTTGCAATTGCGGTCTTTATTTTATCGCGCTCAGACTCGTTTTCGCTTTTAATAACGATTGTACCACTTTTCCTACCGTGCACGTTGCTTATTTTTAGATCCGACGGATCAACGTTCTTATTCAAGTCTTTTTTTGTTTTCATAGCGTCTTGCTTCTCTTTCGGTTTTATGATCAGCGGTTTCTCTTAATTTATTTTCGGCTCTTTGTGATTCACTATTCCGCTTTTTAAACGCTTAGCATATGAGGCCTTGCTATGATGGGTTGATTTCAACCCTTCACTTACTGACTTTTTTATTTCTTCACATATTTTTCTACTTTGACTCTCATTTCGTACCATAGCCTCGCATAGATCTTGGCTATGTTTTTCACATCCTCAGCTACAGCTTTCATCTTATTTGCCTCAGCTATGCCCGTTTCGCATGTTTTTTGAACTCTTTGCATTGCATCTATACGCTCATCGAATTTCCTCTCTATTGCTTCTAAAAGGAGCTCTTAGCTCTTTAACCTGCATTTTTTGCGACTCTTGAAAGTCGTATTTACACTCTTTTATGTTTTTACTATTATTCTCTATAGAGATATTCATGTTTCGCAACACCTCATCAATATTATGCATATATGTGAGACAACCATCACACATAAAGCGCACATAGGCATTGTCCGCAAGTACTTTTTTACTGTACTCATCCAGATCAGAGCATTTCTTTGCCCAGTGAAACACTTTGCCGCATATACCTTCACAGCGGATTCCACTCTCACCGCGTAGTAGGCCTTTGCATTTATGGCAGTCACCCATTTTCTTGGCTGACATTTCACTGCACTTTTGAGTGTTTTTTATTTATTTGCCGACGTCCCAAGCCTTGAGGCACGGTGTTATCGATTCTTGTGTTTATTATGGTTCACAATTTGTTATTTGTGTTTGTATGTATGTGTTATTTTTACTAGATGTAAAACACGAAGCCGCTGCTACGCTCCTTTTCGCCTATCACTATTCTCTTCACTTTCACCGTTTTCTTCCTAGTCAAAGTATATTTTAATTTAATTTGATTTGCTTAAACTAGTGTCACTATCACTTTGCTATTTAGCAAAATTCACTTTCCGATTATATATATGAATTGCTATTTGCATTTGAAATCGCGTTAAGCTAATAAAAACCGATGAATTTAAAAACTTCCCGGAGCTAACTATAACACGACCTTTCACACTCACGAACGAAAAGTATTCAGCAAACTAAAGAAATACTTAAAATTAAACCTATAAATAAATGCAGTATGCGCGATGCAATCAAAAAATATAATGATCAACTACCAACTACTAACCCCACTTCTTTTGCTATATCAATATTAAAGAATCTACACCTAAAAATAAAACTATTATTTCAAATACAATCTCCCCTCTTACCACCCAATCTCATCCTGACTCTCCTCTCGCTCCTCCCTTCTCCCCTCTGTCTGTTTTCGGTTTATCCCCCTCTCACCCCCCCTTCAGATATGGAAATGTCCATCCCAACCCCCCTCTCCCCAAGACCCCAAATTATCAATCCTCTCCCCCCAAGTCTAAATCTGATCATTTTGCATTTAACATTTTTATATTTAACTCACTATCATTTTCTCATCTTTTCTATTGCAGTCCCCTTATGTTATCTATTCTGCAATGGAATATGAACGGTTACTTTAATAATTAAGTATATTGACTTGGAAATTTTAATTAAAAATTATAACTCCTCCGTTATTCTTTTAAATGAAACCCACCTTGCCCACAATGTCACTCCTCACATCCCTAAAGCCTATGTTGGTCATTTTTATAACCCGCCACATATTACGTCCAACAAACAGGGTATTGCCATCCTGGTCAAAAGAACCCTACCTCACCTATCCTATATCCCCCAATCTAATATTTCCTCCCTTGCCATTGAGCTACAAACTTTCAACAAAATTACAATAGTGTGCGGTTATTCTCCTCCTAATCAATTGATCTCTACAATAGATTTCAACAACATAATTCCTTCTTCTTCCTACCCTTTTATAGTGGCCGGCGACTTTAACGCGTGGACCTCCCTCTGCGGGTCCGTTTCGACAAACTCTAAAGGTCGGAAAATTGAAGACTCCATCCTAGTTTCCAACGCAGTTATCCTAAACGATGGGTCGCCCACCCATTTTTCTACCCATTCATCCTTTACACATATTGGCCTTACCCTGTGTTCCGCATCCCTATCTTCCAAAGTGTCATGGCACCTCATTGACGATCTTCATGGCAGTGACCATTTTCCTATCCTCTCCAATATCCAATTTTCCCGCTCCCAAACTCTTTTCAAACCCAGGATCTATTTCAAATCTGATCGAGCAGACTGGTGCAAATTTGAGGTGGCCTGCGAAACTTTCTCCTGCTCCTTACCTATTTCATCTAACACCAACCATGAAACTTCCAATATCCATAAAATAATTCGTTCTTCAGCAAACCGATCCATCCCTCTATCTAAAGCTAAACCTCTCAGGCCTTCTCCTTTATGGTGGAGCAGAGCTATCAGCATTAAGAGATAAGAAGCAGAACGCCTGGCATGACTTTAAGCTCAATCGGACCCAATCAAATCTTGTACAGGATAAGCCACCCACTTCTCCAACGCCTCCTCTGATTCTAGCTTTCCCCCCGAATTTTCTGCTTGCAAACTTTCCCAACTGCATTCTAGCCGTCCCATTTCTTTAAGCTTATCTTCTTCCTCCAAGCAGTTGGATGCCGATTTATCCCTACAGGAACTTCAGTTTGCTCTCTTAACAGTTAAAAGTAGTACACCTGGTTTTGATAAAATATCCTAGCCTATTATAAAACATCTTCCTTTATCGCTTCTATCCCGCCTCCTTAAACATTACAACAACATCTTTTCGACTGGTAATTATCCCATCCTTGCTCTCACCACCAACACTTTCCTGCAAAAAGATTTCCATTCGTCATTTTTCCGTACAAGAACACCCAAAATAGTTTCGTCAATTAGCAAATGCGCCACCTTTGCTAAAGACAATGGACTCCCCCTAAGAATAACTTCGCCGAGATGTGACCATCATCCGCCATGGGCGCTGAAAAAAGCATGCTTTGTAAACGATTTAAGTTACCTGAAAAAATCCAATACGACATCGGCAGAGTACAGCGCTCGTTTCTTGGAAATTGCATCGCGTCTCAAAAATTCTAGTTGGCAGCTAATCTACACTGACGGTTCCAAAGCGAATTACACTTCGTTCGCTGTCGTAAAAGAAAATGGTGAACCAATATCTTACGAATTTTTACTTCCATTTTGCTCAATTTTCACCGCCGAAGCAACAGGAGTTCTCTATGCCATGCAGTATGCGTCAAAATCCAGGGGAAAATTCACCATATGAACAGACAGCATGTCCTGTTTTCAGGCCTCAAAAAAACTATAACTCCAATCACATTATCAAAAGCATAAGAAATATCCTGATTTCGCATCCCAATAAAATCAGAATTATGTGGGTGCCAGGCCATTCATGCATTAACGGCAATACATTCGCTGATATTACTGCCAAAGATATGAGCATTACTCCTACCATCACTTCAAACATCATCTGTAAAAGTGATATTTATAGCTTGATAGAGCAGCAGAGCAAAGCAAACTAGTATCTGACTGGGCTCACTATCGTCATCACTACTCGAGAATTAATCCTAATCCCACTAAACCCAGCTACCTAGCATCACTTCCATCTAACTATACTACTCCGCATTGGACACAGTATAATAACGAATGCACACCTACTGCAAGGGAGACAACAAAGCCTGTGCCCTTTTTGTAATTCTCAAGTAAGCATAGTGCATTTATTAGCCTTTTGCCCTGGACTAGATCTACAAAGACACCACCATTTTGAAAACTATGATCCGCTATCACTATTAATTAATCCTTCTGATTCTACTATTTCCAAAATCTATAAATTTCTGAAGGATTCCTATCTTCTCCGGCGTATTTAAACCAGCCATTCTTCACCAGCCAGCCGAAAGCCTCCGTTGCTAGCGCTGGGTTTTTTTTTAGTGTATTTAATAATTTTATTATTTAAGCTTTCATAAAATAAAATAAAATAAAATAAAAATTAAAAATAAATAAATATTTCCTCCATGTATAATATTCTGCAATGGATACTATTATGATATGCATACGCAAATAATAATTTTTTAACGCACCTATTTAGATAAATAAAATGGTTTCAGTTTTCATTTATTAAAATTTTGCAACTTTTTTCTGCAAAATTAATAAAATTTAAAATAGGTTTGTTCGTCGAGCAAAAAATTTGTACGAATTATCACGATTTTTGCCCAAATCGCGTTCGCGCAAACTAAAAAATTATCCAACACTCAAAAATTGGGAGAGAAAGGTGACAGTTCTCCTGAGAGAAGTTACGAATTCTTGCTGGAAAAATTTTAGCCAGCAAGAATTTGCAATCACGAAAAACATATGATTGAGGCACGTGGTTGCATTTTTGTCTACAATAATTTGAATAAATTAGTTCGTTAAATTTAAAAATTTATAAACACGAGCGATTTTTTTATGAAGGAACTAAATAATTGTTGATATAATTAATTTAGTTAATTCCAATGATTTGAACTTAACTCGGCTGAAAAAAATTTTATTCGCAATCGGAATCCAATTGCAACCAGAGTCGATTTAAGAAACCCGACAGCGACTACGACGAAGAAATTGAAATGTATGTTAATGAAAGTCATAACAACAAGAAATATACATGTATATCCTGTTTTTGACCATCCGAAAGAATTTTAAAAATTCTATAAAATTTGTTTATGTTTGAAAGGCAACACCAGCTGTCAGGGAAACTTGCAAATTCCTGCAAATTTGCGTTCGTGCAGAAATTTGCAAGTTTGGATGACTTCCAAAACGTATCAATACAATGTTTGGAAACTGTTATACGGCGGTTTTCAAACTGTTTGTATATGCAGAGTTGCGACAAATTGCAACCATATACATTCATATTTTAAATATTCAATATAACAAGTAAGAAAGTCTAAGTTCGGGCGGAGCCGAACATTAAATACCCGGCGCAAGTATTAAATATATGTTTTCCACCTTTCCGAAAGCTACCGCTACATGAAAAGCCGGCGTGTATAAATTTTAAGTAAACTAGCGTCCTTAAATTTCAAAATATTGAAATTTCAAGCATTTCTGAAATTTACCGTTATATGAAAAGCGGCCGTAATTTTAGTCCGATTTCAACAATTTTCAATGGTTTACTTTTATGTGGCAAGCACAATAACCACACCGAGTTTGGTACAAATTGCTAGAAAGGTTAGCGAGATACATATACGTGATCATAAGTGGGCGGTGCCACGCCCATTTTCCAAAATTTTATCATAAACGTATTTCCTGGCAAAGAATTGTCGCAACCATCATTTTAAATAAATTAGCTTTAATATTTACTGATTTATCGAGGATTTCGTATTTCTCGAAATTACCGTTATATGGGATGTGGGCGTGGTTATTGTCCGATTTTAAAAATGTTCGGCCATTTGGTATGCTGTACCAGGGCCAACAACTGTGCCAAGTTTGGAATAAATTGATGTAGCGGTTACCAAGATATACACATGTAACCATAAGTGGGCGTGGCTACGCCCATTTACAAAAAAATGTTAATATTCTTATTTTTCGTCTAAAATTTATTATAAATATCAACTTTGAGTGAATTATCTTCAGTAGTTACTAAAATATCGCAGTTTTTGTATTTCTGAAAATTACCGTTATATGGGAGGTAGGCGTGGTTATTGTCCGATTTTGCCCATTTTCAATACCATCCGTCCTACGCCCGAAAGAAGTACACGTACCAAGTTTCGTTAACATATCTTAATTTTTACTCGAGTTATCGTGTGCACAGACGGACGGACAGACGGACGGACGGACGGACAGACAGTCACCGCTTAATCGATTTCTCTTTTCATTCTGATCATTTATGTATACATTTGTCTATATCTATCTCGATTCGTTTTGCCTGTTACAAACAACCGTTATGTGAACAAAGTTATAATACCCTTGTGCACAAGTGCGCTCGGGTATAAAAATCAACAATTTTTCTGAATTTTCCATTTCTAAAACACCAATGCTAACCAATAATAAACGAAGCATCAACTTTGTTTCTGATGCGCTGATTGCTCGAGCGATGCGTTTCGATAACTTTTCGTAGGTGTTTTGGAACAGTATACATTGTCAATATTTTGTAGTTCGACGTTATGGAACCTTATACTTTGTACGTATGCAAAGCAATTGACGTTCTGGAAGTCAGCCTTTCTCAACATGAGAGAGAATTTGAGAGAATTTTTTCTTACTCTCTGATATTTTGAGTGTTGGATAATTCTTGCTGGATTTTCGACGAACAAACCTAATATTAACATATGTTTTAGCGTTGTCACGTACTCAATAGGTCATCACAAAAATAATAGCAGCTGTCACCGTTGGAGCTTTCAAATTGCCCTCTGCATACCTAAACGTCACTATTGATTATAAACATGACAATAGTTACAGCGGCGAGTTTTGTCATTGCACGCGAATAGGGCTGTAAATCTGACTACTTCGGGCTGTAGAGAGCCACTCTCACTGAGTGTTGCTCTCTCATTTTTTGCTGTCATTTTCGAGTTAGGTCGGTGTTATGCAGACAAACTTTTGTTTGCCAAATTAAATGGAGGCTGCTTAGTTTGCTCGGAGGTGGTTATGTCGAGTTTGGCACAGGGTTGCACAGTCATTATGGTTTTCATGGCTATTGCCAACACGAAATGAGAATTTCAGATGTACATAACGTGCCTATTGGACGGTTTGCAGCCAGGAGGAAAAACCGGCTGTATTATAACGGCGCCTCTTCGACACCGGGCCGCATCGAGGAGTAACGGTGGCCTTACCGCGACATGGGGCGCTGGCGCGGCGGACCAGATAAGATCCCCTACTACAACTTTGACTGCTGAGCTTGCCTAGCCGAGCTGGCAGTCGTACGAACAAGATGAATACAACTAAAAACCAAAAAAACATAAAAACAACAAAAACAACAAAAACAATCGCGAAATCCGCGAAAACAGCTACAGCTACAGCTACAACTACAGCCACAACAGCTGCAACAGCCACACCATCAGCAACAGCCTCGACAACAGTCACAACTACAGCTACAACAGCAGCAGCAGCCACGAAGACAGTTATGTCAAGGGCACCAAAGGTACCAACGGTCAAGCTCGGCAGTTCTATGCTGGGCGAAGGTAAAGGCACCAGGCGCAGGGGAGGCTTTCTTGCAAGCCTATCCGAGGAGGAGGCTGCCCTTTTTATTGAACACGCCAGAGAAGATGAGAGGCCAAGCACTAGCAGTGGCGGCGTGGATCGGGCGCAGCTTCGGTCGGAGGGCACCAAGGGTGCAGAGGCTCTGGCCTCAAAAAACAGGCACCGATCGCCAAGCAGGAACCGGGGGGCCAGTTGGCGTCGCTCCAGGAGTCGTGACCGCTCCCGGAGCCATGACCGCTCGGGGAGCCGAGGCCGATCCGAGGGTCGGCATCGCTCGAAGAGCAGGCATCGCTCAGGCAGTGAGCACCGCTCTAGCAGTAGGCACCGCAGGTCTCCTAGTCGAACCTCATCGCTCGAGTCAGGGTGGCAGCTGCAAGACAGCAAAAAGAGAAGCCGCAGGTGTAGACCGCCTCCACTTCCGCCCTCCGGTCAACCGGGAGCCCTTGACGACCACCATCGAGCTGGTCTTAGTGGATCGGGGGTCAAGTGGTATCTCCGGTACCTGGAGCAGGGGAAGAAGCCGAGCGTAGCCCGCGCAATGGCGGAAGTAAGGCAAGAGGTGGAGAAAGAGGCACAAGAGAGTGGTAAGACGGCTGCAACCGCTGGTATGCAGCAGAGAGGTGAACTACCCGCGCCTGCTGAAAAGCAGAGAAGCGGGCAACAGCATCAGAGACCCGCGCCTGCTGAAAAGCAGAGAAGCGGGCAACAGCAGCAGAGACCCGCGCCTGCTGAAAAGCAGAGAAGCGGGCTACAGCATCAGAAACCCGCGCCTGCTGAAAAGCAGAGAAGCGGGCAACAGCAGCAGAGACCCGCGCCCGCCAAATGGCGGAGAAGCGGGGAACCTACAGGTACCACAACAGGCTCAACAACAGCTACTCCAAAACGCACCAGCCTACAGGTCACACCACCTGAGCCACCGTCCCCCAAACGGCCGCGGGGGCTCCCACCCCCTCCAACAGAGTCTAGGGGCTTGGATGGGTCCGCGGGCCAGGGTCAGCCACAGGAGGGAATCACTAAGCAGCCTAGCTATTCAGATGCTCTTAAAGGCATCCGGGTGGCTGTACTGCCATGTGATTACCCTGCTGCTGCCCTAAGCCCTGAGGACCTGACCAAACTCCAGGACGCCATCATGGATGAGGTCCTTAAAGGGTGGAAGCACGCACTGGTCTTTTGTGGGGTATTTTTCAGGTCAGGTATGCTCCTTGTGGACTGCAAGGATGAGCGGACCGCAGCATGGCTGGTGGATAAGGCACCAAACATTGAGGGATGGGAGGGGCCCGCGTTATGTACCAAGAGGGGGGATGATATCCCGCCGGTGCATAATATCTCGGTGTTCTTCCCAAGATGCGCCGATAAATCGGCGGAGTACGTGCTGGGACTCATCAAGGCCCAGAATGAGGACATCCACACTGCTGCGTGGTAGGTGGTTTCATGCGGCGCCGAAGATAACGGTCTCAGGCTCAACCTGGGGATCGATGAGGCGTCGTATGTCAGCATTAAGAGGGCCGGATTCACAATCAACTTCCGGTACAGTTTTGTTACGGTGCGGCCATGGCGGCATAAGACGACAGGTAGCAAGGAGTCAGAGTCCCAAGACATGCAAGTCGACGAGACTACTGACTCCACTGCTGCCCCAGCGACCGAGTCGACCACGGCCCCACTGGGAGATCAGCTATCGGAATTAGCACAGGCACCAGCTCTTGTGAGCGCTCCCGGGCCAAGTGTCACCGACTACATGCGCACCACACAAGAGCTCCTAGCGGACATAAGCAGGCTCGAACTCGACAGAGAGGGCGAGGGTGAGGCACGGCTCTCGAACATCGAGGACGAGCCCCAACTATGAGCCCAACAGCGCTAACAGTAGCCCAGGTCAACTTGCATCACGCGGTGGCCGCCTCGGCGATCATTGCAAGCAGGTTTGCCACGGAGGACCTGGGAATCCTACTGATTCAGGAACCGTGGACCTACAGAGGCCAGGTGAGGGGCCTCAATCATAACAACAATAAGGTAATTTGGGACCTTTCCTGCGAGAGGCCCAGAGCGTGCGTAGTGCTAAAGAATAATATTAATTACTTTTGCATTACAGAATTTCTTACACAGGATCTGGTAGCGGTCCAAGCTACCTTAAGGGTCAACGGGAAGGAACTGGAGGTGGTCTTGGCTGCAGCCTACTTTCCGGGGGACAACGCCAACGTGCCGCCTCTTGAGGTACAGCAGCTGCTGGAATTTTGCCGCAGGAAACGACTTCCGGCGATTCTTGGCTGCGATGCGAACGCCCACAATATAGAGTGGGGCAGCTCGGACACAAACCGTAGGGGTGAGTGCTTATTAGAATATATTATCAGTGAAGACCTGTGCATCCATAATGTCGGTAATGAACCAACGTTCATAACCAGGGTCAGAGAGGAGGTACTCGACATCACTCTCAGCAACAGACTGGCCAGCCCTCTGATCGTTCAGTGGCGGGTCTCATCTGAGCCCTCACTGTCGGATCACAGGATTATCCGATTTGCACTGGGAGCTGAGGTTCTGACAGGTCACCCAAAGAGGAACCCCAGGAAAACAGACTGGGATAAATATGAAGAGGTACTTAGGTTGAACCTAAGCAGAATAGAGGCACAACATAGAAAGGTGGATTGTATGGAGTTAGAGGACAGGGTCAACAAGCTGAACGGCACCATTTTGGATGCCTTTACCTCCAGCTGTCCCGTGTCAAAGCCAAAAGGGAAAGCTCAGCCTCCCTGGTGGACACGGGAACTCTCAGTTCTTAGGAAAGATGTGCGAAGACTTTTCAACAGGGCAAAGCGCACCGGGAGCTGGGAGGAGTACTCAGTCTGTCTGACAAAATACAATAAGGAGATTAGGAAGGCCAAGCGTAGCAGCTTCAGAACCTTTTGTGAGAATATCGCATCTACTCCTGCAGCTGCTAGGCTGCATAAAGCCTTAGCGAGAGACAACACAGGGACCAGACTGGCTATTAGGCTACCTAATGGGGCCTTTTCAGGTAATGAACAGGAGAGGGCACTCGCCCTGCTATCGGCCCACTTTCCGGACGCCATTCCCACCGCTGGGGATACGTTGTTCCGTGCGTTCAGGCCATCCCCACCGGACTGGAAGGTGGCTAGAAGCCTTATAAACCGGCAAACAGTGCGGTGGGCTCTGGACTCCTTCGAACGGTACAAGGCCCCTGGGGTGGATGGTGTATGTCCGGCGCTACTAAAGCAGGGCGGGGAGCTCTTACTGCCACATCTGGTGGACATTATGAGGGACAGTCTAGCACTGGCTCACATTCCCAAGGTGTGGCAAAGGGCTAGGGTTACTTTTATCCCGAAGGTAGGTAAGAGGGATTACTCTCTTGCCAAGTCATTCAGGCCGATAAGTCTCACATCCTTTATGTTAAAGGCAATGGAGAAAATTATTGACCATGAAATCAGGTATAACACTCTAAAACAAACCCCTCTGCATTCCAACCAGCACGCGTACAGGGTGGGGAGATCCACGGATACTGCGCTGTATGCCTTAACGGAGGAAATACAAGGGGCCTTTGAGTGTGATGAGGTGGTGCTCTGTGCCTTCCTCGATATCGAGGGGGCCTTCGATAACGCCTCCCATTTGGGAGTCGACAGAGCTCTTGGGAAACATAACGTTCAGCCAACCATCCGAAGATGGATAGCAAGGTTACTTCAGACCAGGATTGCCGAAACTGAAGTCGGTGACAGCGTCGTTCAAATACAAACGACTAAAGGGTGCCCACAAGGGGGGGTATTATCTCCTCTACTGTGGAGCTTAGTTGTGGACGAACTCCTACAGATACTCACTAACGAGGGCGTCCGTTGCCAAGGGTACGCGGACGACATAGTGATTATCGCTAGAGGGAAGTTCGCAAGTACTCTCTGTGACATCGTCCAAAAAGGACTTAACCTTGCGAAAAGGTGGTGCACAGACGTAGGTCTAAATATCAACCCTTCTAAGACAGCCATAGTCCCCTTCACCAAGAAACGAAATCTCCAGGGGATGAGGAACTTGACCTTGGACGGGGTCGCAATCAGTGTCGCCACAGAGGTTAGGTATCTGGGGCTTACCCTGGACTCCAAGCTTCTGTGGAGGGCCCATGTAGATGCGGTCACCTCTAAGGCCACGAGAGCGATGATGGTGTGCAAACGTCTGGCGGGTAAATCCTGGGGGTGCACTCCGAGGATCCTCAGATGGATGTACACAATGATAGTGAAACCAATAGTGACTTATGGTGCGGTGGCTTGGTATTCCAGGACTACTATAGGAACGGTGAGGCAGACCCTCTCCAAGATTCAACGTCTGGCATGTGTTTGCATTACGGGAGCAATGCGCACATGCCCGACGGCAGCGCTAGAGGTAATGCTGGAACTCGAGCCACTGCATCTCTCAATTGAACAGGCTGCAAAGCGAACCCTCCTTAACTTTGCGAGAGAGGGCTTCGGCAAAGGCAAGGTGTTATCATCTAGGAACAGGGACAAGCTAGGCACCCAGCTCCCCCTGGCTTTGTTCCCCAGGGACGATATCAACAGAGAGGTGATATTCAAGAGAAATTTCAGGACCCACACTTATAGCAAGGCGACCTGGTGTACCTCTATTATGGAGAGTCACATACAGGCGAGCACAATACAGTGGTACACGGACGGCTCTAAAACACCCGCGGGGATTGGAGCAGGCGTGTACGGCCCTAGGCTGAAGCTTTCGGTGTCCCTGGGGACTTTCCCCAGCATCTTTCAAGCGGAGGTCTATGCCATCAGTATGTGCGCTGAGATTAATATTCGCAGGAACTATAGGAATGAAAGGATACTTATACTAAGTGATAGCCAGGCGGCATTAAAGGCCCTCGCATCATTCGAGATCAAGTCCTCCTTGGTTAGGGAGTGTGTCGAGAGGCTCAATGCTCTGGCGGAGGTCAATGATATCCAACTAATGTGGGTACCAGGGCACATGGGGGTCGCAGGAAATGAGGAAGCTGATCATCTGGCCAGAACGGCCGCTTCCTCGACCCCGATAGGACCTGAGCCCTTTCTGGCAGTAGGACCAAACACCATAAAGGAAATGCTCAGAAGGGACAACAGCAAACTGAGGGAATTACACTGGCTTGGCACCATGGGCCAACGTCAGGCAAAAAGCTTATTAGGAGGTTACAATCTGTCAAGATACAGGCTTCTCATGGATCTCCCGAAAGAGAAACTAAGGATTATTACAGGTTTTTTGACGGGCCACTGTAGGCTCAGAGGGCACCTGCATAAATTAGGTATCTGGTCCAGCGACCTGTGTCGCTTTTGCGATGCAGCCAAAGAGACCCCTCTACACCTTCTTATGGAGTGTGATGCCGTTGCACGCAGGAGGTATAGGAGCATAGGGCATGTCTGGCCAAGAGAGGAGCACAAACACTCACTGTCCCCGGGGTCTATTATGAAATTTATAGACACTCTGGGGCTGGTTGATGTATTGTGATGAGCTAGGGGCACAATAGACCTATTGGTCGCAGTGCCATACCCAACCAACTATCTATCTATCTACATAACGTGCACAATTAATATATTTTTTTTGAAATCTTATAGGCAATTAACTGTGCCCTAATCTTTGAAGCTCCTACAGCATAAATTCAGTTCTCTGGCTTTTGGTATCACGGCAATTTTTGTGTATAGCAACAATTGTTTAAAATTTTTGTATATGACAACACCGAATTCGGCTGCAACTTAGTTTGGCATCCCCGGAGTTCCGCATTTAGGTAGCTATGGAACGATAGAGGGAGTTCTCCTGATTGCAAATATATATACTTTTAGCCGCAGCAGGCTTCTAGTTTTTAAGTTATTTGTTGTTAAAGTTTGTAAATTGAACTAACCTCTCGGCGCTATTTCACACAATAAACACTTTATTTATGTACACCCTCCTCAAAATAGTTGCATTAAAACCCCGGCCTGAGATTTCCACTTTAATATACAATTCTTAATTAATTAATTAAGTAAAACGCGTTTATAAATGTCTTCACAAACGTTTGCACATTTCACAAACAAGCAGAAATAACAATGGCTGACAGTAACACAAAATGTATGCTACCATACGTTAAAAAAACACACAAATAAGTGCGTATAATTAGAAAGTATAAGTGTACAATACGTACATATATTGCTCTTATTAAAAATAATAGTATTAGGATCGATAGGGGTCTTACTCCTGATCATAACGGTATTATTTTTTTCGGGTGGAAATAATATTTACTGGTGTTATTGTAATTCAAAGTACACAAATGTAGAAAACGTACATCGTTAATTTGATAAATAATGAAAACTTTTAATAAAAAACCGCGCGATTTTTTATTAAAAATTTTCGCCTGCAGCGCTTTTTCCATAAAAATCAATACTTCGATAAATAATAAAAATTTTTAATAAAAAATCGCGCGAG